TTTTTATTTTTTCAAATAAAATATTTTATAGAAAAAATTATATTATAGATATTATTAATTTTTTCAAATAAAAATATTTTATAGAAAAAATTATTTATAGATATTATAATTTTCGTTATGAAAATGTCATTTTATAAAAGTGGAAAACAGTTAGAAAACATGTTTTTTGTTATAAAGGAAAATTCTAGAAAATAACTTAAAACTGTTTTCGAAATCTTAAGTTAAATTTTGGAAAACTGTTTTCTAGTTTTTCAAATAGAAAACTGACTGATTTGAATACAAAACTTTATTTTCCAGTTTTCTTGGAAACTTTTCTAAAAAATTATTCCAATTTTCTACAAGGGATCGCACCATAAGGTTGTGTATCTGTCCCGTCCCTCTTTATTATCTAGGTTGTATTCCACGGTTTGTTTTTAAATAGCTTTTAGCGTTTTTGACTGATCAAAACATTAAATGATACTCCTTTTGGGTGTTTATTTTATCCAAAATATAAGTGTTTTAAGTATTTTAAGGAGTAACAAATAATATTTTTTCAATGCTACCCTTATTTATAATAGATACAATAACTACATTCACAAATTATAGTTTTGAGATAAAGCATAATTTAGTCAAGTTACTCTTAAGTTTAATATAATTTAAAAGAATTAATTATTTCCTTAATTTTCGTGAAAAACCGACTGTATATTAAGACAAATAGTGTATTTTTATAGTGTCTGGTAACACAATGTTTAAATTAACTTTTAGAGGTTAAGATAATGTTTTATAAAAAATTAACCTATCTAACGTTTAGCTTTTAGCGTTTGAGAAAAAGTTACTCAAACAACTTAACACTACTAAAATAGTTACCATCTACCAGAACAGCTAATTTTGCCACGACTCTAGTTTTATGTATTTCTGACATCTTATTAGGATATTTCTTCAAAACTGAACAGTGGATGATCTTCTCTCTTTGATGTTGCTAAGGTTATGTCTCAAGCTTTTCATGGGCTAATTTCACTTGTCGTACTTTAACTATAAACATTATTACATTAGCGTTCTTAACATTTAATTTGCTACGCAAAAATATATAAACTTTAATTAATGTTACATAAAAAAGGCATCCGTTAATTTTCCGTTGGAGAGTAGAGGGAAAGTTGATCAGAGGCTTTTAAAGTATTTTAAATAAAAAAATTGCCACCTCGGCCGTAACTTTTCACTTTCTCTCTCCCTCATCCCCAAACTTACCTCACCAGAAAACTGCAAAATCAGTAGCAAAATTACGGCTATAAGGATTTGGTGTAGAGCAAAACCAACAGCTTTTTTGGAATTAATTAGTTTTGTCATCCCTTCAATTAATTCTATTATTTCCGTTTCATTGAATTTTTGAACTTAACCATACCCAAATTGTATTTCCCCTAAGCAAGAAAGTCTCTCACATATAATATAAAATTACATTTCTCCAAAGAACCCCCAGACTATGATAAATAATTAAGATTATAATTTTGTGATAAAACTTTTTTCACAGTCTCTAAATTTTTAATAGCCAACCAAGAAAAAATGAAAAATTTTCCAAGCGATCATACAGGAGATTTAGCTTTAGTCATGTGGTAAGACTCCACCAGTTACCGAGTCAGCCAGGTTTGGAGTCTCACCCTCCCCACTATACGCCTCTTCCAACTGTAAATTTTTATGCAACTGTCAACCAAAATTAAGCAAATCAATAAATAAAGCATAAGCAAAATTTCAAACCAAAAAAAGGAAAAGCAAAATAATAGGTCAAATTGCTGTTTTAGCTGAACGCTGCACTGCACTAAATTCCATCTTGATGGTAAAATTTCAACTAGTTAAAATTATCCTGCTTTGTTTGCATCTAGACAGAGTACTTCTGTTGAAAGTTATCATCTCTATATAGCTGAAAAACTACTATGGTTTCTCTGTGGCAGCCAAATCAATATACATCTAATCGCAGCTGTTCCTTCTTTTCCTTCTCCTCCTTTCCAAATTCAAATTACATCTAATCGCAGCTGTTCCTTCTTTTCCTTTCTCCTTTCCTTTTACTTCTCCTCCTTTTCTCCCTCTAGAAGTTCTCTAGAGGACTGAAATTATTTTTCTTTCTCTTCTTCCCATGTTTGAAAGTTCAAATCATGTATTGGCTATCTGCCAAATTTTACCAAAATTCTTGAAACCCTCATTAACCAAGCAGTGTTAGCAGAAAACCCCAGAACTTCAAGCATAGAATGTAGAAATAAAACTAGGACTTCAAGCATAGATGTAGAAAAACTAGAAAAGTTGTTTTTCTTTATATATATACACAAACACACACACACACACACACACACACACACACACACATAAAAGTATGACCCATGACACTACTCATCATGTTGGACATGGAAAAGAGACATAACACTAGCTAGAGAAAGTGGAATTTACAATTAAATTGAGTAGATATTTGTTTTGCATAGTCCAAGTCTCCAAGATTTACTCATTTCAAGAAACTGTCAATGAAAAATACATTCAATGGCATAAGCAATCATACTGGGGTAGCAAGTAAATCATACCTTGCAGTTGGTGCTTGTTGCTTGTCATGTTTGCTGATGCCACTGACAATGTAACTCAGGGGGTTACTCTAGTGACCTCCATGTCAAAAAATTATCAGTAATTGATTCTGCTAAAGGTTTTCTTGCCATGGGTTCAGTTCTTTTATTTTTGGCGGCTCTGATCTGATCTGCAAGTGAAACTTCTCTTTGAACCTTTTCTCTGTTCAAAATCTTTACATTCAATTTCTTCCAAGCTGGACTGTGGGAAATCAATGCTTCCCCCGGAGTAATTACCTGACTATTTATGGATTTCTTTTTCCGAATCTAAAGGAAAGACAATTATGGCATTGTTAAAACCAAAGATCATTAGACAAGCAACGAAGGAAACATTCATATGAAACCATACCAGATGCAGCGGTACAATGAAAAAGGACTCATTATGCAGGAAATGCTAGATTCATACTAAAGATACCAACAAACAAAATAACAATTGGAAAGAAAATAGCAATTTGATCTTCAAAGTGCATTGAACTATTTATTTTCAGCCGGTATAGCAGGGGGGTAAACACTCAAAGAAAGGAACAGGGTGCTTATGATTGTAAGTACTGGAATGAACAAGCTCCAAAATCAGAACCCAAGACAAGCAAGGATCTGCAATTCCTTTTCTTCACTCTGAAAGCCTAAATTTAAATTTCTCTTTATTGTTTTTATTAATAAAAACTTATTTTCTGCTAACAAATTCTATATTATCTTATTTCTAATAAATTATGATATTACAAATGAACCTCAAAAGATCTCCTGAAAAATTAATTAATTGATATTTTTATTAATAAAACTTATTTTCTGCTAACAAATTCTATATTATCTTATTTCTAATGAATTATGATATTACAAATGAACCTCAACAGATCTCCTGAAAAATTAATTAATTGATATGTTCACTACTAGATATAATTTTAAAACATTGAAAAAAGCAACAGCCTTTCTTTCAACCATTCACATTTATATGCACCCAAAATCAATGGTCTACAGCATTCATGATAACGGTGGGTTTTATATTCATGTTATTTTTTAACCTTTGTTAATCTCTGTTGAATAGTCAACTCCTTGACAACTGAGAGCTTATCTGCTTTTCTCTTTGCTTTTCTGCCTGCCATTTTCTTTGCTTCTTCTCTTGCTTTTGCTTTCTCTTCCCTTTCTTTTCTCTTTTGAGCAAGCACTGCCATCTTTTCTGCTTTTGCCTGTGCTGCTCTCTCAGCTTTTATCTTCGCTAGCTCCTTTGCTTTAGCTTTGTCCATTGCATTCTGAAGCTGTTGGAGAGTTATTTCTTCTTTTATATTATCATAGCTGTCCCAATCTAGCTCTTGTTGGTGAATACCTCCTTTCCTTGCTGCTTCTGCTATGCTTTTGGTCCATGACAGAAAGAACTTCTCTCTTAGCCTTTTCCATTTCAAACGCTTACCCCAAAGTCGCCGAAGTGAAGAATCGCCGAAGTGAAGAAACTATTTTTTCCTTGACTTCATCACTGCAATGGAATATGTTTTGACTCATATTGTCAGACTCCAATATAGCCTGTGCAACACATTTGTATCATGGTGGCCAATTAAATATGCAGGCTAAAGGACTAAATATTACACCTAAGATGCAAGAAATAGTTTACTGAGCATTGGCCCAGTTCTAATCATGATTACTAGAATATGCCTAAATATCATGAGAGCAGGTAGTTAAATTATTTTCTGACTAGAATATGCCTAAATATCATGAGAGCAGGTAGTTAAATTATTTTCTGTTGATTGTTGTCAGTTGTTATGAGGTAAAACTATTTTTCTCATGATCTTGAACTCACCAACATACAGTTACCAACTTTCAACTGGGTGAACCTTACTTGAAAACTAGTCAGATCACTACTCAGTCATTAGTAAGCATCCATGTTCCTTATCCCTTTATTTTTTTAGCATGTGTTAACAGAAATATGCTTTATACCGTTGGATCTAAATATTTATCCTTGGTGCCATAGCTGCTGCATGACTGATTCCAACTCTGATTATGGTTTGAATGCTTAATGACAATGCTTTCAGTTTCATAATACCATCTATCCATGTAGAATGTTAATAATATTCTCTTAGAAAGAAGGTAGATCAATTAAAGATTACCTATGGCCACAGGAATGTTCTGACATCTTCTTTCTAACCTGAAAGTGAAAGATTGAGGAAGAAAAAATAAAAAGGAAGGAAACAAATAAAAGGATTTATAGCAACGGGGGAAAGGAAATGTAATACAAAAGTAGGATATGCTAATAGCAAAGGTTTTTGAATCCATGCAAGCAAAGAATTTTAATTAAGCTGAAAAGAAAAAATTGACATGAAAGGAGTTTATTTTCTCTGCTTAAGTAATAAAACTAGTTTTAAAGTTCTGGACTTTCAGTTACAATTACAAAGAGCCAGTTATAAAACATAAGTGATCATGTATATCAATAAGTGTTTATATTTTAGAAAACACAATGTACAGTTATGCCAGATTGCTATTAACGCGATTATCATTTTGAAATTTTAATTTGAGTCAATTTAGAAAAAAAAATCATAAAAATATAAATTTATATAACTAACTAGTTCTTACATGACTTCACCTGGGGATCTCTCAAGGCCTCTATTGTTCTCTTCTTGATTAGTGCACGAGTCTCTACAAACATTGAAAATTAAAACCACAATAGAACTGGTCAACTATATGACGCATATAAGTTGATGATTAATTAATTTTCATTCAAAAGGAAGTTACCTGCAGTATGTTTTCTGCCTTTGTTCCATGGTACCCTCCCCTTATTTCCATGTTTTCTCTTTCTTTTTGTTTGCTTCTCTTTCTGGTCAGTTGGACTTCTAGATGAGTCCTGGCAACTGTCCAGTAGACTATCTTCCTTCGAAGATAGAGTTTCAGCTAAATCCTGACCAAGTTTTAACTGGAAATGCTTGCCAAATCCGGATTCCCCAAATCCGGATTCCTGCTCAACATCAACAGTGAATGCAAGGCTCCAGAACGGTGAACTGCTCAACATCAACAGTGAATGCAAGGCTGCAGAACGGTGAAGTCTTGGGAAAGAAATTGAAAGAAGCATACAAGGGACATACACTCTTCAAAACCGATGTATTATAATTTGAATGTACCATGCTTGCTTGGAAATTTGTGTATTCCACCACATAACCCAAAGTTGGCAATAGAACAGTGTTTGAACCACGATTACTTGGTGAATATGTGATAGACAATCTCCTGGTGGATGAGGAAAGAAGACTTTGTTTATATTTTTATGGAAATATCTAGATGCTAGTCATGATGATCTTAATTGGAATCGCTCTATCACAATACATCTTACAAGCATTAAAAACTTCAGTTTTCTTCGTGTTCTAGAACTCACCAGAATGTCAAGCGAGTGAAGTCCTTTAAACAATTTTATAAGAGAACTGAGCAAACTGGATAGACCATACCATCATCTGAATTGTTCTTTGATTACAAAGTATACTAATAAACTCACAGTTTTCTGTACCTGAGAAGGTGACAAATAATATAAACCAAATCAAGTGAAAAATTCAAAGGACAAACACACAAACACAATAGAGATTTTTCCTCAAGACTTCACTTAAACACAAAATCTAATCAAGTTCACTAAAGGTTGCAGTAGACGAAGCTGCTTGCTACCTACATACAGACTCAATAAGTTCATTAAATTACTGAATCAAGCTCAAGTTGTCAACTTGAACTTATTCATCATATTTGATGAGACATGCTCAAGTCTATTTCCATAACTTGTCTAATATACAACTTAAATTGAGCTTGTTTAACATCACCAACTCATTTATAAGCTTATAGCGCAACACATGATTTAGCTTTTTCATAGGCACATATTGAAGTGCAAACATGTATTCATATATAAGCTTATCAATACCTAGATTTTTATTTTGAACTTATTTATAAAGGTACGTGATAAAATACCTCAAATTATTTGAGCATCGCATGTTTGACTTGCTAAACTTTTTTCCCTCTTTTCCTGTTGTAAAACAAGAATAGTAAAAAGCAGAAAAACATCTTTAGCAAGCTAGCCAAGAAATGCATTTGATTACACAACATTCCATGCCTGCTCACAAACCGCATGTTATAATATAGTTTCGAAAATTATGCATATAATTTGGCATAAAAAAATGACTACTAAAATTATTAAATCCATAGAAATTTCTTATAATAATTTAGAATAATCTGAGAATAGTTAGTTTCAATGTTCAATTACTTGAATCTTCTCCAATTAGTTATTTTCTCTATTTCTGAACCTAAATTTGGCTGTGTAATTCGAATGGAGCAAGCTCAAAACGAAGACAAACTAAACTAGAGCTGTATTCAAACGGAAAAACATTTAAATAAATTGAAATTAAGCTGCATTGTTTAAGCTCGAAGTCCTCTATAATTTGCAAAGAACATGGTAAAAGTTAAATGTATTAGAAATTATGTAGGGGAAGAATAAGAATAAACCTTTGCCGTGGAGAGTTTTGGTTCTGCTGCAGGCGAGATGAGAATGTAGCTGCAGTTGAATTGCAGGAGAACGAGAAAATGGCGACAGGGATGAACGAGAAAATGGCGACAGGGATTAACGAAACGGTGCCGTGTATTCAGGAAGATAAGATAAAGAAGAGGGGGATAGAGTCGAGAGGTAAAAGGGAGGGCGTGGAGTTAGAAGGGAAATGCTACCATAATTTTGGAAAAACATTATTGGAGCAATTCCGGGGAAAATAAAAGGGTACAGTACTGTTTAGTCCCTGAGGTCCGAATTAATTCATTATTTTATCCTTTTATTGTGGTAAACCTAGACATGTCATATTACGGTTCCCAGAATCGGAACCGGTGGTTCGGAATATATATAACATTTCTCAAATGAAAATGGGCAATTTACATAAATAAAATTCACATTAATTTTTATTAATATTTTATCTTATATTTTATCTTTGAAATTTTAATTTTAGTAAATTTCAGAAAAAAAAAGTTCCATAAAAATATTAAAAATATAAATTTATATTAGATATTATTATTGGATATAAATATAAAATATTATTATTTTATTGGTCGAACTAGTAAAACAATAAAAAATTATTATTCTGAAAATAGTATTAATAGAGTTTTATATAAGCTTAAAATATTCATCTTTAATTTGCTTGAAAAAAATCATTATCGACATTTAATATTTAATATTTTGATGGATAATTGTTAATAATAATATTCTAAAATCAGACCGGTCATTGAATCGTAAAGGTAAGGGTCACTGAACAGGAGGGAGACCGAGTTCAATACATTTCAACTAAATTTTTATATTTAATATTTAAATATTTTAAATACAATTAAAATTATAGGATTTTTAAATCTAAAATAATTTTATAAAACGGATAGATAAAAATTATATATGTTATATTCTTTAACTTACATAAGCCTAACATATATAAATATAAAACCTGATTTAATAAAAACTTTTAAATAATTATTAAAAACTTTTAAATAATTATTAAAAAAATTTTTGATTTATTTTGAAAAATATAATAACAAAATAAAATAAAATATTATTATTATTATTGTTTTACAATTATTACTATTATAATTTTACCATTATTTTGCTACTTTACCATTATTAGTATATTATTTATTTATTACTTTACCACTATTATTATTGCCAACTGAAACGTAAACTAAACAGTATATTAAAACAATAACATGGTATAAATGGATCTGTAGAAACCACGTGCCTATTAAAAAAGTGTTTCTCAAGCATTGAAACGCATTGAAACATGAGATGGAAGGCAAAACGAAAGCCTTAGCTTTTTATTTCATACAAACAAAATACTATGGAGAGATAAACTTTAAATCTATCGTTGAAGTCCGACCATAGCGATGTAAGCCTCACCGCCAACATCAGGCTTAACAGCTCGACAATCCGCTTCAGGCGAAAGTGGTTCGGCCACCATTGGCTCCCGGAACAATCCACATGCTCCAACTTTCGTTTTTTATTTTTTCTTTTTATTTGTTGGTTTAATTTGAATTGTAGTAATTACTCAAATCAGTTCGCCCATTCTTATCCAATTTTCATCGATTCTCGGCGATTGTACCGGAACAATCCAATTTTTTTTTTTATTTGATTATCTAATCCATACCGGACCATAATCCAGTTTATGGCTAAACCAATCGGAGGCCGGTCCGGTTTAGTTTTAAGAACAATGGTTAATAATAATATGTATGTACATAAACTACCAAAATTTTTAAATTATAATGATTTTCATATTATAAGAGAATATACATGATATTTATTGATTAATTGGGTCTAAAAAAATAAAAAGTATTGAAATAAATCAAATTAACAAAGAAACTTAACCATTGATAATTTTATTTAATTTATATATATTAAACTTATAGAAATCATTATTATTATATTACAAAAATGAACTATTCAAATTATTTATAATTATGCATTCAAAAAATCATTGGAAAACTCGTTTAAGCTTTACTTTATATTAATTTTAAATTTTAATTAACAAATTGTAAATGAATAACTTAAAATTTAAAAATCTCGGTAAGAATTATTAATTAAAAAAATAATAAAAAAAGTTAAGCAGGAAAAAAAGTTTAAGTAAAAATTTAGGTAAAATATAACTAAATAATAATAATAAAAGTAATTAAGTGAAAAAAAAAAAGCTATTGTGGTAAGAATTTTATTAAAACATAATAAAACCAATAAAAAGAAAACGTTGTACGATAAAAATGTAATTAACAAAAAGTAAAAGTTTTTAATAGATAAATTACTATTACGGCAAGTGATTTTCCATGCCGCTTATTTATATATTTATGTAGTCTATACTATATATAAAACTGGGAATGAGAGGGAGAATAATAAGATTAACTGGGTCACCCTTAATGAAATTTAAAATGTTCTAAATTATCGTTACTGATGGTTAAATTAAAAATTACAATTTATCAATTTATTGGATGTAATTTATTTTTTAATAAATATATATAATAATCAGTCATTGAAAATTTTTATATTTTATTTTTCAAATTTATTATTTATTTGATTTCATTTTGATTATAATTTAATGTGTTTTATTTAGGAGGAGTTAAAAATAGAAAAATATTTTTTTATTAATACTTTTTTTTAATGTTTGAATGATTTGATTGGATATATTTTTTAAACATAAATTTTCAAATATAGAATAAAATTTTAAAATATAAATTTTAAATTATATTTGCATTTAAATTATTCTCATATAAATATTCTTATATGTAATTTTTTTTAATTCTTTCTATGAAAAATAATATAATTTCATGATAAACTGGTATACATGAAAATATTTAATTAATTTTTTTCTTCTCTTTGTTTCACTTTTTTTTTTCTTATAAACGATTATCTAAAATAAAAGTAACCTAATAGTTTTCCTTTTTTTAATTATAAAAAATAATATGTGATATTTTTCATTTATAATATTTTTAGAAATAATCAGATTATGGCAATAAGAGTGAAAAATTTGTACAATAATAACATTAATATAGATTTAATTTGTCTAATAGTCTCTTGTATATATTTATGTGAAATTTATATATATATATATATATAATTATATATATATTATATATATTAAATTAAAATTGTATTAGTTGATTTGATAGAATTTATAAAAATTATTTTTTTAAATAAATAATATAGATAATCAAGCGTTTTCAAAAATCTTTTAATTTTTATCTTTTTTAAAATAATTTTTTTAATAAATATATATGATAATGAGGACATTTAAAAATTTTTATATTTTATTTTTTTAAATTTATTATTTATTTAATTTATTTGATTATAATGTAAATTTTTTTATTTAGGAGGGGAGATAAAAATAGAAAAAAATATTTTTTATAAATATTTTTTTTCTTTATGTTTATTGTAATGTTTGGATATTATTTTTTAAAAAATAATTTTCAAATAGAATAAATTTTTAAATATAAACTTTCTTGAAAATATTAGTACATATAAATATTCAGATATTAATTTCTTTTTTAGTTCTTTCTATGGAAGATGAAACGACCCGAAAATTTAATTTCATAGAAATTTTTCGTTTAAAAACTAAATTTTTATTTCAACCATGAGATTATTACCAGCTAGTATTTTATTATTGCTAAAACTGGACCCGTAAACCAATTCGATTTTGGGAAAACCAAGCGAAAAACTCGAAAAACAAGCAAATTGAGCTCATCATTAGAATTAGACCAAACCGTATCGAATCGAACCGAAATGGTCTGGAAGCTTTTAGAATCTTCCTTTCTCTTTTCTTTCTTTTTTCTTCTTTTCTTCTTCTTCCGCAGCGTCGACCTCAACCCTCCCCCTCTCCTCCTCTCGTTTTTTTCCGACCACCAGAGACCAGCGCCCGTTTTCCGACCACCAGAGACCAGCGCCGCGCCTCCTCGCCGCAGCAGCTCCGGCCTCTCCTTCCCTCTCTCCATTCACTTCCAGCGAGAGCAGCTATCGTAGAGCAGCTATCGTAGGAAGAGCTGCGACCTTACCTCGACCGGAATCGCGTCGTAGTCTCCTCTTCGGCTCTCCGGCGACGCCAGACGCTCCAAACGACGGCGTAGCTCCGACCCTCTCTCGCTCCGTTCTGGCTGGCACAGAAAATCACAAGGTGTTGCGATTGTGGCTTGCGATCAGTCTGCTCCTCGTCCCTCTTCCCGTTTTCCCGCGAGCCCAGCCAAGGACCGGCCGAACTACGTTTCTCCTCATCTCCAGCGGCCCTCCGGCCACCTTCCCACCCATTTTCGGTCAAGCTATCGCCGACAGCAGTGGTTTTGATTTTAAGGTTCGTTTTCGGCTACTTTTAATGAGCATATTCAATTTTTCCGTCATATTTCTGGACTAGGTGAGCCATAATTCAATCCTTTTGAGTTGTTTCTTGAGTTTTTCATTTGAGATTATGATTTGTAGTTTTGAGATTATGATTTGTAGTATTATTGGAATGTTAGGAATTCCCTTAGTTAGCTACTGTTAGTATTGAAAGGAACTTTAAGCGTTACTCTTAAAAAAGTTTTTTATTGTGAATCGCAATTTAACATGCATATAAATCAACCAATAAATTTACTGCAGGTTTAGGTGAAGAAGTTGAGAATTTTGGAATGGCAGTAGCCATTTTAGTCTCTTTGCCTTAAACTCTTTTTGATATGGATTATGTGATTGGGATTTTAATTTGTGATGGGAATGAGTTGAACTTATGCATATGTATATATATATATATATATATATATATATATATATATATATATAATTATATATATTATATAAGTTTAGGAGTTAAGGAACATATATCTTTTTGGCGGCAGCAGCTATCTTGAATATGTTGTGTTCTTTTAATAGGTTTAACATGAAATGGATATATTTTCCTTGATGTTCTTATTTAACTTGTGGGGTTGGTATGTAACTTGTTGGGGTTGGTATATATGTTTAAGTTGTGTATTGGATTACTTAAGAGATGAGATTACT